GCCACCACGCCCGGCCTGGAGTTTGCCTTTCTTAAGGCGGACTCCATAGTCTTCTGAGAAGCCCAGAGAACAATTCTTTAACATACACTGCAGAGGGCTTAGTGATTGGGGATGGGAGGAAGAGTTTCCCATTTCAGGAAATAAAGTCAACAGGATTTAAGCAGAGATATTAAACCCAGCATGGACAAAAGTATTCGTGGCCTGAGGGTGTGGAGAATCAGAAAAACAGAAAGATTATGACCAGGAGAAACAAGAAAATGACCATAGCCACTATTTCTTGCTACAACATTGGATATTCTTGAACTTTGAATTATGGGGAGAAGGCAGGATGCCGGGGTCGAGGGGTCCCTGGTCTATAGGATCTGGGTGGCTCCCTCCTTGATTTATGAGATACCTCAGATGCCTCCACATCTTAAAGGCAGAGTGTTCAAATTCGGCCCTTTCTTTCAAGGATTTTAGGAGGGATGACAAAGCCAAGTCCTGGAGACGCTAGACTTGTTGAGACACAGGAAAACGAGATGTTCGGGGTAAAGGATGGGGATGAGGAGGAAAAGGGCCACCTGAATCCTTCTGAAGAGTCGAGAACAGCCACGAGGGAAGGTAGTAGGTGTGCAGAAGAATTAGAGCATTACAGGCCTAAGTTTCCCTACACAGTGCCCTATTTAGGGGCACTGGGAAAGTCGTGGGGTGACAGAAAAGGTAGGCGAGGAGATCTGTAGGATGGCTATTTTGAATCCACCAGTGCTCTGAGAAGAAGGAGAAGTTTAACCAGGCATTGGAGCATGGAGTCTGACAATCCAGGCGCCAATAATCTTTGTGGTGCCAGAAATCCCAAACTGGTGAATGTTTTTCACAATGTTCTTGTAACAACACCTGAACTGTTTTTGACAGAAAAGACAGAACTGGGATGGTCAGCCCAACCGGCAAATAAGGGATTTGACCTTCTCAGATAGGAAGTCTGCGCTGAGTACCTTAATGAAGTTCTTTCCCAGTTGTCTGACGGTAGCGACGACAGGACATACAAATTCAGACATTAGGAACAAACAGGACACCAGACGCTTAGGTATATAACCACTAACGGCAATTTTAAAGACAAACAAAGGGAGGGGGTCCCATATTGGAATCATTCAGATGCCTGCCTGGCCACGCCCCTTACAGGGACTTTGGCTCCTCTTGGCATCGGCAGGTTGGTATAAACCCCCAACTCAGATTGAGCTAGGCTCGATACCGCCGTAAGCCTTATGAGGTTGCCACAGAACCACAGGTTAGGGCCCACTCGGACTTTGGAGCCACAGACTAGAGATTCAGGCACAAGTCCCCTTGAATTCCACATTCACTCACTCACTCAGAGTTTATTACAATTCCAAAGTAGAGGCCTCTCTAAAAGAAAAAGAGAAAGAAAGGGGGAGAAAAAGAGAAAGAGAGAGAGAGGGAGTGAAAGAAAGACTAAATTCAACAAAAAGCTTACTGACAGAAACCCCAACTCTGCCCTCCAGCATCCTGGATTGTTGACAGAGTCATGAGGGAGGATTCCCATCAGTGTCGATTCCCTCTCAGAGGCAGACAGAGTCAGATCTGACTTACCTTCCCAGGACCAGAGACAGAAGACTCAGGGGCCGAATTTGGTGGGCACATTGGCAGTTGATCCATTCCCCTACAGAAGGCGATGGCCTACGGGACCCTGGAATGTCTCAGGAGGCGCCTCCCCTATAGCCCACTGCTCATCCAGGGAAGGCTTGAACAAGTCTGGTCACACCCGGTGGCAATATAATATCTCGCTGGGGCCTCCAAATGTTATACCTGAGCAAGTAAAGGAATGTGCCACACTCTGAGATTTGAGTTGTGAGTCCTTTACTGCTGGCGACTGAGAGATGGCTAACGCCCAAAATTCTCTTGGCCCCAAAGAAGGAATTAGGTGGTTTTCTTATACCCTAGTCTGAAAAAGGAGGGGGAACCTAGCTGAAGCAATTTTTTTCATAGAAGCAGAGCAAGCAAAAAGTTAAAAGATAAACTAGTACATAAGAAGGAAGCAGTACCAGGTGTAGGGGCTTAAGCTGTCACAAAAGACATATAGATATGGGGGCTCTGGGTACTTAGCAACATCTGCATTCCCAGGGGCTGCTGGTACCACTTGACTCGGTATCTTATCAACAAATGCATTCCTGGTTGTGCCTGGTGTCATCCTGACCCAGACACACGCTACAGCTACATACTTAATGGAGGGAAAATAATTAGAAGTGAAGAAGCTAAGATAGAGTTTGTCTGGCTTCTTCAATTAAGAATGAGTTAGTAAGGCCAACACAGGGTAGGATAACACAGTGCCACAATGCCCAGCTAATTTTTTCTACTTTTAGTAGAGACGGGCTTCTCCATGCTGGTCAGGCTGGTCTCAAACTCCTGACCTCAGGTGATCCACTCGCCTCAGCCTCCCAAAGTGCTGGGATTACAGGCATGAGCCACTGCCCAGCCATGCACTTGGAATTTTTAAGCTTCCCAGGTAATTCTGAAGTACAGTCAAGATTGAGAACAGTATTCCAAGGTTTGACCATCAAAAAATGTATATTATGAATGACTAGTCTCATGGAACACATATGGAAATGCTGTTTTTGCAGAAAGCTATAATGAAGTTGGAGAAAGGCTAACATTTTTACTTTACCTGCCTCTGTACTGTTTTACTTCCTTACACCTAAAGATGATAGAAAAGTTCTGTATCTTGATTTTGGTGGTCATTGAATGAATTTGAACATTTTTCAAAATTCAATGAACTATATCCTTTAAATTTGTCCATGACTTATTGTATGTAAATTTTACCTCAACAAGGTTAATTTAAAAAACAAAAAAAGCAAACCAACGAGTGACACTCCAAGAGGAGTTTTTGCTCCTCTGCTGTGGCTTGCTGCCCACTTGAGGTAGCCGTGAGAAGCACTGAAGAGGGATAGAGCCTGGAGGGTCTGGCAGTCCATGCCAAGGGTAAGAAGGACTGAGCTAATTAATGAGTGACAGGATGGACACCAAGGAGGGTTTGAAATCACCCTGTAAACCGTTTGGATATGGGCTGCAGGTCAGGAATGTCGATTTCAGTCTAAGAGACATAGGAAACCACCAGTGGCTTAGACAGTGGAGACTGAGAAGTGATCAGATTCTGGGTGTATTCTGGAAGGAAGCAGCCCTCAAAGCACCAGTTGATAAACTGGATGTGAGCTATGAGAGAAAGGAAGGAATAAAGGATGACTGCCAGGTTTGCAACAGAGCTAGTGTGGACTGTGGTGAATTTGAGGAGATGAGAAAGGCATGAGAGCAACAGATTTGGTAGAGGAAAGAGAAAGTCATTGCTTCTGTTTCAGTCATGTGATATTTGAGGTGCCTACTAGACATCCAGGAGATAACAGCTACAAATAGAGGTGGGAGAGATATGGGTCATCACCATTTTATAGAATGTATAATACATGGTATTAGAAGCCACAGAACTGGATGAGGCCATGCAGAAGTGAATGGAAATAAGTCCTTAATTTTTGAAATTCACACAATTTGAATATTGCTTAGAATCACAGGATTATTCCAAGTAAAGAACCAAGAAAAAAAAAAAGAATCACAGGATTATAGCTGGGTGCAGTGGCTCACGCCTGTCATTCCAGCATTTTGGGAGGCCGAGATGGACGGATCAAAATGAGATCAGGAGTTCGAGACCAGCCTGGCCAACATGGTAAAACCCTGTCTCTACTAAAAATATGAAAATTAGCTGGGTGTGTTGTTAGGTCCCTGTAATCCCAGCTACTGGGGAGGCTGAGGCAGGAGAATCACTTGAACCTGGGAGGCAGAGGTTGTAGTGAGCTGAGCTCATGCCACTGCACTCCAGCCTGGGCAACAAGAGCAAAACTCCATCTCAAAAAAAAAAAAAAGGAAAAAAAAGCAGCTTTCAGGTCAGCCACAGTGGCTCACACGTTTAGCCTCTGTACTTTGTGAGGCTGAGACAAAGATCACCTGTGGTCAGGAATTTGAGACCAGCCTGGCCAACATGGTGAAACTCTGTCTCTACTAAAAATACTAAAATTAGCTGGGCATGGTGGTAATGCCTGTGATCCCAGCTACTCAGGAGCCTGAGGCATGAGCATCATTTGAACCCAGGAGGCAGATGTTGCAGTGAGCTGAAATTGTGCCACTGCACTCCAGCCTGGGGCAACAGAGTGAAGCTGTGTCTCCAAAAAACAAAACAAAACAAAACAAAAAAAACCCCTTTCATTTCTATATTATTCTTTTTTTTTCTTGTCTATTGATTTCCAGGTGGTGTAGATTATTTTATATTATTTGACAAATGTAAGCAAATGATCAGGGAGATGACAATCAGTTAAAGAGAAAAGGTGGCACCAATAAATATAGATATAACAGTTTTCAAAATATAAATTTGGTAATGATCTACATTTACTAAAATTTTGCATGTGTCAGTTGGCTAAATGATTTTTTTTTAAAGAAACAAAAGTAGGCCAGGCACAATGGCTCATACCTGTAATTCTAGCATTCTGGGAGGCCAAGGCAGGAGGATTGCTTGAGCCCAGTTTGAGACCAGCCTGGGTACCATGGCAAGATCCTGTCTCTACAAAAGATCAAAAAATTAGCTGGGCATTAGTGGTCCCAGTTACTTGGGAGGCTGAGACAGAAGGATCGCTTGAGCCCACGAGGTCAATCAAAGCTGAATGGAGTCATGATTACGCCACTACTACACTCCAGCCTGGACACCAGAGGGAGACTCTGTCTCAAAAAAAAAAAAGAAACAAAAGAGTAAACATGAGCAATTGAAGACCACTAGTATCTCCTCAGGAATTAAGGAAGTGACAACTTTAAGGATGATTTACAACCCTCTAGATACTAGATTCATTATGGAATCAGGAAAAATGTGTGCTTATAATCTTTAACCCAAATCAGAGGAATAGATTTTAAATTATTATAATTATTCTTCATTACCCTGGTTCAAAATGAAATGACAGAAATCAAGACTTAATGAGTAATTTTTTAAAAAGGGTATGTGTTTTTAATGTCACAAGGATTAACCAAATTAGACTATACAAAAATCTGTAAGGAAATGTAACACCAAGCAATATAACACTTTAGTTTTATACTCTTTTAAGAAGACAAACCATCAAAATATGACAGTTACTGAGTTAAGTTAAAAGGATATTTATAGTAACTCATCTAGACCACATTTGGGGGAAAAAGGATATTTATGATATCGGGTTGCATGTCTCAGTTCTTCAGATCCCATTTTTATATCTAGTCATTTTGTTCTTGTTTGCTTAAAACATACTTCTTAAAAGTGAAAACTTGAAAGCAAAAAGTTCCAATTCTGAGTTTGGTATACAGCAATAAAAACTGTATAAATACCTTCCAATTTCACATGTCTGAATTATTAATCTGATTAAATACTTGTGCTGGAGTAAAACTTAAGATACTCAACAAGAAATGTTACAATGTGCAGACTTAACATTAGACAATTCAGTTTCTTTCATTTTATTTTTAAGATGACTTCATTTCTCAGGACAGATTGACACAAATACAAGAAGCAGTCTGTAGGCTGAGACGACGTTTATCTGCTCTCCTAAAAGCACTAGGCTCAGCTCCCCCAAAGAATTACAAATCTGAGAAGTTAGAGGAAAAGTACAGAATAGGGGTTCTGATTAAAGAAGAAAAATCAATTAATGACATTGGTGCTCTATTCTTCATGTCAGTACTAATACAAACTCAACCCTTTTAAATCAGGGAATCTTCCATTCTATTTCTAATAAAGTAGTTTTACAACCCCTAAAGTAAAAGAATTACATGAAGGTGTAAACCAATTTGCCTCCTTTAGAGGCATTGCAATGCAGAAGACAAATTTTCTTTTTTTGTAAGCTTCTCCTTCTCAGTTCTGCAGGCTTCATGGTACTTCAGAGCCCCAATAATCAAGCAGTTCATGACAAAAGATAAAGGTGAAAAAGTAGACACAGAGATCTGTGAAGACTTCACCCATTTTGCTATAGGTATCCATTGATCGATTGATCACTTCAGCAGGAATACCCGATAATAGAAGTGCAGCTGTTAGTACTGTTGTCTTTATCTTCTTTTCACTCTGTGTAGAGAAACACTCAAATTAATCTTCAAAGTTTCAGCAGACTACAAAAGCAATATAAAAAAACATGGTCGATACTACTATTTTTACCTAAATGATTTAAAAACTGTTAATGACATTTCAAAACAATCAGTTATATACCAACATTTACCGACCATATAATACATAAATCATTGAACTGCTAGGCAATAGCAGACTTCAGTCTTGCTATTAAAAGTTTTTAAAAACTATCATCTTGGAAGCATGACATAAATAACAATTTATGATATATATAATAGTGCTGCATAAAACAAGAAAAATATTACTAGACAGGACATAAATAACTGCCAAAGGACTGACGTGGATGATGTGGGACATAGGAGCTTACATACCAGTGTTTTATGTAAATAAAACACAAGGAGGACTTCAGAGGAAGCAGAATTAAAAACAGGCCTTCAGGCCAAGTGCAGTGGCTCACACCTCTAATCCCAGCACTTTGGGAGGCTGAGGCCAACTGATTGCTTGAGCCCAGGAATTTAAGACCACCCTGGGCAACATAGGAAGACTCTGTCTCTATAAAAAAAAGTTAGCTGAGTGTGGTGGTATGCACTTGCAGTCCCACCTACTCAGGAGGCTGAGGTGGGAGGATCTCTCAAGAGGTTGAGGCTGCAGTGAACTGAGACTATACCACTGCATTCCAGACCAGGCAACAAAGTGAGACCCTATCTCAAAAAACAACTAAAAACAGACCTTCAAAGAAGAGCAGGCTTTAGACTGGCAGAGTGAAAGGAGAAATTTTTTGAAGGGTTTAAGTCTCATGACAAGTCAGAGGCAGAAGAATGCTTGGAGAACAATGAGTAATTTGTAACAGTATTACAGGCACTTCATGTACGGCCTTAATTGTTATGCAAAGGAATTCACACTTGATTACACATGCAATAGAATATCACTGAACAATTCAGTATACTTCTGGGGGAAGAGAGAACATTTACTTAGTAATATAATTTTCTATCCTCATTTTTTAAGGGATTAAAAGCTGCATTTTTCTTTAATTTATTGATTTACTATCACAAATCCAATCATATGGTTTAAAATTGTTTTAAACATAAAAACCTATAGTTACCTAAGAGAAATGAAAGCTTATGTTCACAAAAAGCCTGATACAAGAAAACTCTTAGTTTTAGTCATACTAACCCAAAACTGAAAACAACCAAGATGTTCATCTACAGGAGACTAGATAAATGGAGACAGTCATACAGTAGAGTATTACTAAGCCAAGAAAAAAAGGAATTAACTACTGATTTATCTAACAAAATGGATAAATCTCAAAAATACTATGCAGAATAGGCTGGGCTCAGTGGCTCACACCTATAATCCCAGCAATTAGGGAGGTGAGCGGATCATGAGGTCAAGAGACGGAGACCATCCTGGCCAACACGGTGAAACCCCCACCTCTACTAAAAATAGAAAAATTCGCTGGGCATGGTGACGTGCACTGGTAGTCCCAGCTACGCAGGCGGCTGAGGCAGGAGAATTGCTTGAACCCGGGAGGCAGAGCCTGCAGTGAGCTGACATCACGCCACTGCACTCCAGCCTGGCAGCAGAGCGAGACCGTCTCAAAAAAAATTTTTTTTATTTACCTAAAAAAAAAAAACCTTAAGCAGTAAATTTTAAGTTAATGTTATGCAGGAGGGGTGAGGTATACCAACATGTACACCTACAACATACTTTGAAATGCATCAAGAAAAATTAGATGGATTATCTTGGGTTCGAAAAATAAAAGAAAATCTGATAGATACGTAATATAATAAGATGCTAATTGTAGGATCTCAGTGGCAGATATTATATAAATGGGTGTTCATGGCACACTTCTTTCAACTTCTGTGTTTATTTTTTTGTTTTTGTTTTTGTTTTTTTTGAGACGGAATCTCACTGTCTCCCAGGCTGGAGTGCAGTGGCTGGATCTTGGCTCACTGCAACCTTTTCCTCCAGGGTTCAAGTGATTCTCCTGTCTCAGCCTCTCAAGTAGCCGGGACTACACGTGCGTGCCACTACTCCCAGCTAATTTTTTTGTATTTTTAGTAGAGATGGTGTTTCACTGCATTAGCCAGGATGGTCTCAATCTCCTGACCTCATAATCCACCCACCTTGGCCTCCCAAAGTACTGGGATTACAGGTGTGCGCCACTGCGCCTGGCTATTTCTTTATTTTTTGAGACGGAATTTCACTCTGTTGCCCAGGATGGAGGGCAGTGGTGCTATCTCAGCTCACTGTAACCTCTGCCACCAGGGTTCAAGAGATTCTCCTGCCTCAGACTCCCAAGTAGCTGAGATTACAGGTCTGCACCACCATGTCCTGTTAATTTTTGTATTTTTAGTAGACACAGGGTTTCACCATGTTGACCGGGCTGGTCAAGAACTCCCAACCTCAGGCGATCTGCCCACCTGGGCCTTCCAAAGTCTGTAATTACAAGCGTGAGCCACTGTGCCCAGCCAACTTTTGTGTTTAAAACTGCTGTAACAGGCCAGGTGCAATGGCTCATGCCCGTAATCCCAGGACTTTGGCAGGCCCAGGTGGGCAGATACCTGAGGCTGGGAGTTCAAGGCCAGCCTGGCCAACATGGTGAGACCCCATCTCTACTAAAAATGCAAAAATTAGTTGGGTGTGGTTGCTCACACCTATAGTCCCAGCTACTTGGGAGGCTGAGGCAGGAGAATAAACCTGGGAGGAGGAGGCTGCAGTGAGCTGAGACTGCAACACTACACTCCAGCCTGGGTGACAGAGTGAGACTCTGTTTCAAAAACAAACAAAACAAGCCAAAAAAAACAAACCCTGCCATAACAAAATGCTGTTTGGTTGGGAGAACATATATATATTGAAGTCTCCCTTTTCTCTCTTCTATTTACATAGTACCCATATACATCTCTATCACACACATAAGTATTGTTAATAATTTCATGTATATTCTTTCAGAGATTGCTTATGCATATATAAGCTAAAGCAAATAATATATTTTTTCTTTTCAAAAGAAATAAGTATACTATAAATTCTATTCTGAATTTTGATTTTTTTTCTCTTAATATTTCTTGGAGAGCTTACCATTATTAGTACATTGAGAGCGTCTTCATTCTGAACAGATGTTATAATTTTTTTTTTAATGTAGTCACTCAGTGGACATTTAGGTTCCAAACTTTTGCTACTGTAAAACTACAACTGATGTTTCAGAGGTGAATTTCTTTTTCTTTCTTTTTTTTTTTTTTTGACACAGAGTCTTGCTCTGTTGCCCAAACTGTAGTGCAGTGGCGCAATCTAGGCTCACCACAACCTCTGCCTCCCGGGTTCAAGCAATTCTCCTACCTCAGCCTCCCCAGTAGCTGGGACTACAGGTGCACCAGCACACCCAGCTAATTTTTTATATTTTTCGTAGACATGGGGTTTCACCATGTTAGCCAGGATGGTCTTGATCTCCCGACCTCATGATCCACCTGCCTTCTGCCTCCAAAAGTTCTGGGATTACAGATGTGAGCCACCACGCCAAGCCATTTTTCGTACTTTTAGGAGAGATGGGGTTTCACCATGTTGGCCAGGCTGGTCTCGAATTCCTGACCTCAGGTGATCCACTCACCTCGGCCTCCCAAAGCTTAAGGATTACAGGTGTGAGCCACCATGCCCGGTCTAAATTTAATATCTTTCTTAAACAAGTACTATTCAAACTCTGTCATGAAGGACCTCAATCCACAGTAGACCAATATTTTTGTAAAACAGAGTAACAATGTTATGGCAATGTCAAATTGCTATAAAAGTTTCTAATTACTCCTTTTTTGAACTTAATGTTCAAAAATCTTAATGTATCACAAACACAAACACATAGTTTGGAGATAAGTGGGCAAACCACACTTTGAGTAGAACTGATTCAGACCATAAATAGGACTAACATTTTTAAGTTCCTTCAATTAGCTAGTCATAAATCAATTCAAATATATCATCAAAATTTAGAAAAAAAATTAATTTACCTTGGGAAAATATTTGTACAATCCCATGTACGCAAGTTGTAAAGTAAGAAATGGAGCAAATATGGACTGTGAAGACAGAAGATTAAAATTAAGTATTTCCAACATAAGCATTTAAAATCACAATAAATCAAACAGCAGCTATAAAGTTCTAAGCAAAAGCTGTAAGAAAATATTGTTATTATTATTATTTTTTGAGATGGAGTTTTCCTCTGTCAAAGAGGCTGGAGTGCAATGGTATGATCTTGGTTCACTGCAACCTCCACCTCCCAGGTTCAGGCAATTCTCCTGCCTCAGCCTTCTGAGTAGCTGCGATTAGTCATCTGCCACCACACCTGGCTAATTTTTGTATTGTTAGTGGAGATGAGGTTTCACCATGTTGGCCAGGCTGGTCTCGAACTCCTGACCTCAAATAAGCCACCCACCTTGGCCTCCCAACATGCTGGGATTACAGGCGTGAGCACCCAGCAATTATTATTTTTTTTTTTTTTTGAGACAGGGTGTGGCTTTGCTGCCCAGGCTGGAATACAGTGGCACGATCTCAGCTCACTGCAACCTCTACTTCCTGGGCTCAAGCCATCCTCCCACCTCAGCCTCCTATGTAGCTAGGAATACAGGCATGTGCCACATTTTTTTTTTTTTTTTTTTTTTGGTAGAGATGTGAGTTTCACCATGTTTCCCAGGCTGGTCTCAAACTCCTGAGCTCAAGGAATCTGCCTGACTTGGCCTCCCAAAGTGCTGGGATTACTGGCATGAGCCACCATCCTTGGCCTGAAATATTAATTTTAATGATTAAAAGTAATCTTGTTTATGCAGAATGGTGAAGAAAATAAGATATTTGATTTCCTAACATAAAATATGTTTCTCAATTCTTTCATATGCTTACAGTGTCCCCAAAAGTGTCTTCTTTCATAAAAACTTACCTTATAAATTATTTAAAATAATGACCAGGTTTGGTGGCTCACGCCTGTAATCCCAACAATTTGGGAGGCTGAGGGGGGCAGATCACAAGGTCAGGAGTTTGAGACCAGCCTGGCCAACATGGTGAAACCCCGTCTCTACTAAAAATACAAAAAAATTGGCCGGGCGCGGTGGCTCAAGCCTATAATCCCAGCACTTTGGGAGGCCGAGGCGGGTGGATCACGAGGTCAAGAGATCGAGACCATCCTGGTCAACATGGTGAAACCCCGTCTCTACTAAAAATACAAAAAATTAGCTGGGCATGGTGGTGCGTGCCTGTAATCCCAGCTACTCAGGAGGCTGAGGCAGGAGAATTGCCTGAACCCAGGAGGCGGAGGTTGCGGTGAGCCGAGATCGCACCATTGCACTCCAGCCTGGGTAACAAGAGCGAAACTCCGTCTCGAAAAAAAAAAAAAAAAAAAGCCAGGCGCCGTGGCTCCTGCCTGTAATCCCAGCACTTTGAGAGGCCGAGGTGGGCAGATCACAAAGTCAGGAGTTTTGAGACTAGCCTGGCCAACATGGTGAAACCCCGTCTCTACTAAAAACACAAAAATTAGCTGGCTGTGGTAAATGTGTGCCTATAATCCCAGCTACTTTGGAGGCTGAGGCAGGAGAATCACTTGAACCCAGGAGGCAGAGGTTGCAGTGAGCCAAGATGGCGCCACTGCACTTGATCCTGCCTGGGCAACAGAGCGAGACTGTGTCTCAAAAACAAACAAACAAACAAACAAACAAAAAACAATAAAATTAACCAGGTACGGTGGCATGCACCTGTAGTCCCAGCTACTTGGGAGGCTGAGGCAGGAGAATGGCTTGAACCCAGGAGGTGGAGGTTGCAGTGAGCCGAGATCACGCCACTTGCATGCCAGCCTGGGCAACAGAGCAAGACTCTGTCTCAAAAAAAAAAGTATTCAATGATGACAGATGTTTAACACATTATGCAGTAACATCTCCCTCACTCAGAGGAAATTAAATGACGTTCAGCAAGCACACATAAAAGGCCTCACACTCAAAATAGATGCCATTCTTCCAGCTACTCAGAAGGCTGAGGCAGTAGGATTGCTTGAGCCCAGAAGTTCTAGTCCGGCCTGGGCACCAGAGCAAGACCCTATCTCTAAAACAACAACAACAAGAAAACTAAACTAAATGCTACTCATTCCTCAGACTTCAGGGCGGAGAAATCAACTGATAGAGTTACCATCCCTGATTCTCCCATGGCAAGCTATTCTTATTAGAGATAAAATCACTGGGTGAACAAAATAGAAAAGATCAAAATAACATTCACATAATTCCTTTTTTTTTTTTTGAGGCAAAGTCTCACTCTGTCGCCCAGGGTAGAATGCAGTGGCATAATCTTGGCTCACTGCAACCACCACCTCCTGGGTTCAAGCAATTCTACTGTCTCAGCCTCCCAAGTAGGAAGGACTACAGGCACCTGCCACCATAGCCGGCTAATTTTTCTATTTCTAGCAGAGACGGGTTTCACCATATTGGTCAGGCTGGTCTCGAACACCTGACCTCAGGTGATCCACTCACCTTGGCCTCCCAAAGTGCTGAGATTATAGTCATGAGCCACTGCACCCAACCACCACATAATTACTTTTAAATGAAAACTATTAAGAAGGGAGTGAAGTAGTAAGCATTACTAGAATGCAGTACAGTGAGAGCAGCAAGAAACAGTTGAAAATCTGAGAGCGAAAAAATAGAAAACCAAAACAAAAAAACTCACACAAAAATAGGACATAACCTTAAAAGCATGAAAGCACAGAGCGCTTCAGATAGAGACAAAAAGAGCTAGGCAGCTCACTAAATGCTGAAAGCATCACTGATCTTTGCATTACAGCAAACTATAATGACAAGTTATCAGCGAAAAACAAATCAAATCTGTTTAACAGATTCTATTTATGAAAACATTTGCATAAAAAGATTTAAAAGCCGGGCGCGGTGGCTCAAGCCTGTAATCCCAGCACTTTGGGAGGCCGAGGCGGGTGGATCACGAGGTCAAGAGATCGAGACCATCCTGGTCAACATGGTGAAACCCCGTCTCTACTAAAAAAATACAAAAAATTAGCTGGGCATGGTGGCACGTGCCTGTAATCCCAGCTACTAAGGAGGCTGAGGCAGGAGAATTGCCTGAACCCAGGAGGCGGAGGTTGCGGTGAGCCGAGATCGCGCCATTGCACTCCAGCCTGGGTAACAAGAGCGAAACTCCGTCTCAAAAAAAAAAAAAAAAAAAAAAAGATTTAAAAAATTGCTTTGCTTAATCATATAAATTTTAATTATCTGGATAATTTATTTATGTGCCTGGTACATATGCGTAAAATGTCTACTGAATGGAAAAATTTCAGAGCAAGACACTGAACTGTGACCTATGCTTTTCTGCATTCTCCAACATACTAGAAAACAAAATGACCACATCATGGTACAACTAAATTGGATGTCATTATGATATTACATTAGGAAATGCTGAAATGTCTTCTGAACCATAAGAAAATTACCTCATATTCAAGACCACAGGAACTACATTTTCCTGCTGCAAATTATTTGAAATTTGATTTTATATATATATATAGATAGATAGATACATACATACATACATACACACACACACATGGCACTTAACCCTTTCGTTAAGGAATGAAACTGCCTGGGTTTAATCCCAGCTTCACTTAGTAGCTGTGTGACCTTGAGCAAATGATTAAACCTCTCTGAGTCTTCATTTACCAATACATTAAAATAATACCAAGTTCATAAGAATGAGGATTAGATGAATCAATATATGCAAAGCCATTAGAATGGTACATAGCATGTAAAAAGTGTTTCAGTACAGTCATCCCTCAGTATCTGCTAAGAACTGGTACCAGGTTCCTCCAGATACCAAAATCTATAGATGCTCAAGTCCCTTATGTAAAATGGCACAATATTTGCATGTAACCTACTCATTTCTAGATTTTTGGATGCCTAATACAATGTAAATAGTTGTTATGCTGTATTTTTTATTTGCATTATTTATTACTTGTTATTGTTGTATTGTTTTTTTTTTTTTCCCATATAGATTTTTTTTTTTTTGAGACAGGGTCTCACTCTGTTGCCCAGGCTGGAGTGCAGTGGCATTATCCTGGCTCACTGCAACCTCCACCTTCCGGGTTCAAGCAACTCTCCTGGCTCAGCCTCCTGAGTAACTGGGATTACAGGCGCGCGCCACCACGCCCAACTAAACCCAATATGTTTGATCCAGTTGGTTGAATTCACATATGCTGCAGAACCAACATTACAGAACCCATTGATATGGAGGGCCAACAGTAATTATTAGGCTCTGTATTTAAGCAGAACACCTCATTCTATAAGATGAACAGTAAAGTTAATAATACATCTTCAAACAGCCACATGGATCTAGTAGATATTAATACTGGCAATGACTTCGATGGATAAAAAGCGCTCATAAACATTTTGCATTTTCCATTAAGTTAGTTAATAATTTATAGATCTTTTCTTACCAAGTATTTGCAAACAAAAGCTCTGACTCCAAGAGCAAGGAGAGCACATCCCACCAATCTAAATATTCGAAAAGAGTCAAATTCTTCTGTTGTACTTCCATCCTCTTGATTGGGTTTTTCACTAATCAGCTGTTTCCTTAGCTTCATTGCTTCTTCGAATCTGGAAAGGTACTGCTCTAGGCCATGGCGAGAGCCCCTCTGGACTGTGTCTGCTGTCAGGTCCCCTCTGTTCCGCTGCCGGAGCTCAAGGTTGGTATCATTACTGCACTCAGGTGGTTTAATGAAAGAGTCCAGTTTGTCTCCCAGCTGGGTCCCCTTTACCTCGGCCATGCCACCCTGCTGGTCAGTAGTTCCTGTATTGACGGAATCACCCAGCACCACTCGCTTTGACACTGAAGGAATGCTGAGGGAGTTCAGTTTGTCACTGTCCTGCTGCTTCGATTTTGTTTGACTTTCTTCTTCTGACAAAAGAAATTTAAAAGCCTTATTTATTCCATACTGGCAAACACCTTACATGTTTGTATTGTAAAACATGCTGCTTCAGCTAGAACTCAGCAGTCTCTGAATCAAAATAAATAAATACTGAGTCTGCATTAAAAGAAGCTTGTTTCTTCCTCTACATCCTCAAAATGTATCACCCAAAAAGAATATTCTGCAGAGGAAATAACTCAAACTTTGTGGGTAGAAGATTAGTAGACAAACTGGGAAAGATATTCAGAGATGGGGCAAACCGAAAAGACCAACTTTTAATGGATAATATATCCCAGACGTACAATTGCATTGTCTGCCTTAGCTTACTTGGTTAAAAATACAAAATCAGTAAGCAGGGTGCAGTGGCTCACGCCTGTAATCCCAGCACTTTGAGAGGCCGAGGGGGACAGATCACAAGGTCAGGAGTTCAAGACCAGCCTGACCAACATGGTGAAACCCCATCTCACCAAAAACACAAAAATTAGCCGGGCGTGGTGGCGCCTGCCTCTAGTCCCAGTTACTCTGGAGGTTGAGGCAGGAGAATCCCTTGAACCCAGGAGGCGGAGGTTACAGTGAGCTCCGATGGCACCACTGCACTCCAGCCTGGCGACAGAGCAAAACTCCAACTCCAAAAAAAATACACACACACACACACACAATTAGTAAAGCCTTTTAAAATCTATATTTTAAAATTAGATTTCTGAATCCAATGCCCTATGACCATAGGGTGTGGCATATCCCACAACTACTGTTTTTGTAGTCAGGCAGCCATTAGTAGCTACTTCAGCAGTTTTAAGATGCTGCTCTGGTGTTGCTGTTGTTTTTTTTTTTAAGGGAGGGCTGGGCACAGTGGCTCACACCTGTAATCCCAGCACTTTGGGAGGCCAAGGAGGGCAGCTCAGGTCAGGAGTTTAAGACCAGCCTGGCCAACATGGCGAAACCCAGTCTCTATTAAAAATATAAAAAAATCTGCCCGGGCGCGGTGACTCACGCCTGTAATCCTAGCGCTTTGAGGGGCCGAGGTGGGAGGATCACCTGAGGTCAGGAGTTCATGACTACCAGCCTGGCCATCATGGTGAAATCCCATCTTAAAAAAAAAAAAAAAAAAAAAAATCAGTAGCTAGGATTATACCTGTAGTCCCAGCTACTCAGGAGGCTGAGACAGAATTGCTTGAACCCAGGAGGTGGAGGTTGCAGTGAGCTGAGATCATGCCACTGCACTCCAGCCTGGGCGACAGAGTGAGAGACCCTCTCAGAGGAAAAAAAAAAAAAAAAAGTCCAGGCACAATGGCTCACTCCTGCAATCCTGTAATCCCAGCACTTTTGGAAGCCAAGGCTGGTGGAATCACTTGAGCCCAGAAGTTCAAGACCAGCTTAGGCAACATAGTGAGACCCCATCTCTATGAAAAAAAATATTTTTTAATTACCCAGGCAAGGTGGCGTTCGCCTGTGGTCCTAGCTACTCCGGAGGCTGAAGTAGCAGGACTGCTTAAGCCCAGGAGTTTGAGGCTGCAGTGAGCTACGATCATGCCACTGCACTCCAGCCTGGACTACAGGGGGAAACCCTGTCTCAAAAAACAAAACCTTTAAAGACACAAAATTTTCAAAGCAAAAGAACAAAATATAGGAAGTACTTCAGGTAAGATAATAAATAATCCTTCGAGAAAGAATAAATAGGTTGATAGAAAAAAAAATGTTTCTTCTATTGTTCTAGAAGAATTTGAAATGGTTTTCTTACCTCTCATTTAAATCATCTAAAAGTTCGGAGCTATACACCCAAAGCCTTACAGAACAAAAGTCACAAAGATATAAGGAGCTTGCGACCAGTGACTAACGGCCAATTCCTAAAGAAAACAATGGAAACTTAGATAACACTAGGGCATGGTAATTGTTCAATTATACACAAGTGAAATAAATTTTTTTAAAGGAAAATCATTGGACATGTGTTTGGGGGGAGGAATGAGGCGCTCTCCTTTAGAAGTGTAGTTCCGGGCTGGGAGGGGTGGCTCAGGCCTATAATCCCAGCACTTTGGGAGGCTGAGGTGGGTGGATCATGAGGTCAGGAGCTTGAGACCAGACTGGCCAATATGGTGAAACTCAGTCACTACTAAAAATACAAAAAATTAGATGGGTGTGGTGGTGTGGGCCTGTAGTCCCAGCTGCTCAGGAGGCTGAGGCAAGAGAATCGCTTGAACCTGGGAGGCAGAGGTTGCAGTAAGCCGAGATCGCGCCAGAGCAAGACTCCGTCCCCACAAAAAAGCAAGCAAGCAAGAAAGAAATGCAGTTCCAGACACCAATCACTCTAATCTCAGCTGATGGGGACAGGAAACCTCAAGTGTGCACGTTGCACTTGCTGGGTCTCTGAAGAATGCTCACTCTCAGTTTTCCCACCTTTTCTAGCCGGCCGGTAAGTGAAAATGTTGAGGGCACCGAACACAGACACTAGGATATGACCACAAGAGTCCCTGATACACGTAGGATGGACTAGCGGGCAGTTCAGTGAAGACAAGCTGATGTAGGCAGACAAGAATTACACAGCAAAAGGCAAAAGAAGGTAAACGCTAGAGAAAGAACCGTGAGGAAAAGCACTTGGAACCTTAAGAAGGAAAGCCATCTTCTTAAGGGGAGCAGTGGGCACCGCAGGAAAAAACGTGCGCCCTTCTAGAAAGGAGAGCGGTGGCTAAAGAAAGGAGTTGTTGAAGGTAACGGGGCAGACGGAGCCAGGGCTCTGCAGGCAGGGTGGGGAAAATCTCACGGCGAGGCCCCAGGAAAACTGAGGGGAGCGACCGGGAACGTCCTGGGGTTCAGGAGTGAGAACTTGGGATAATCACCGAAGCGGCGGGACAGAGAGGAGGTCAGAGAGCAGGGCTTGGTCAAAAAGGTCAGCGGAGTGGAGGTGGGGAGGGAAGAATGACCGTGAAGATTTAAGGGGATGGGCGGGAGACTGAGGGGAAGCCGAGGCTCTCACCGGCGCCGCTCCCGGGCCTGTGAAAGCCCATGATCCGGTTGATGCGTTGTTCTGAGTTCATGAGCAGCTTTCTCCGACGCAGCTCGGCCCGACGCTGGGAAGCCGACAGGCCTGAGCCCGCTGGGACCCCCGGCCTGTCCCCATCGTCGGTAACGACGGCTATCGACTCCATCCTCCCGTCCAGTCTGGGAGGGGTGGCACTAGCGGTGCTGTTGGCAGCAGCTGCGAGGCCGATGACTAGAGTCTGGGCCGCAGGGCGCGCGCACCCTCTCCCAAGATAGACCCGCCCCCGAGCGCGGTGCCTGAGCCTGCGAGCTAAGCACGCACGCGCTGCCCCGCGCTACGGAGCGCGAGGCGACGGCCGCCATCTTGAGTGAGGGCAGCGCGGCACGCCCTGGTCCCTCCGCGCCTCGTCTTGCCCTCACCCAACAGCCCCCTCTGCTGTTCATTCGGAGGTGAAGAAAACAGGCACCCAGGGCCGGGCGCGGTGGCTCACGCCTGTAATCCCAGCATTTAGGGAAGCCGAGGCGGGCGGATTACGAGGTCGGGAGTTCGAGACCAGCCTGACCAACATGGTGAAACTCTGTCTCTACTTAAAATACAAAAAAATTGGCCAGGCGTGGTGGCGCGCGCCTATAATCCCAGCTACTCGAGAGGCTGAGGCAGGAGAATCGCTTGAATCCGGGAGGCAGAGTTTGCAGTGAGCCGAGATCGCATCACTGCACTCCAGCCTGGGGCGACAGTGCGAGACTCCGTCTCGAGAAAAAGAAAAGAAGAAAAACCGACACCCTGCCCGAGGAGTGGGAAAGGGATGACAATGACTAGACCAGCCTAGATTTGGTGACAGAAAGTAAAATGGAGGTTGCAGCGGCCAGCGCTTGTTTACGGACCCGCGGCCTCGCTTGTAGGCTATGGCAATACGTAACCCCAGGAGCCACGCTTGAAGGGAGCGTTACGCTGGGTTTTGATCTTGGTGCCAGTTCTTCATCCTCGACTTCTGTACACCCTAGTATACGGCTGATGTGTTCCTAGGCTTTTCTCGCGTTTTTGTTCAAATCAGACTTTTCCAGCCTTTCGTCCCAAGCCTTTCAGGCTTGCTCAAATCAGACTCTCCCAGCTTTTAAATAGATTACATTCTATATAAATTGCCAACACTCCCCATTCCCCTTCTCCACCTTATTTTTTCTTCTTGTCATTTATGACCACCTAGCTTGCTAAAGATGCTAATTTTACTTATTATCCGATTCTCACTGACTAAAACGTAAGCTCCATGAACATAAGCATTGTGTTTTCTTCACTGCTACACTTCGTGTCGAAACAACAGGGCTGAATTACTCAGTAGGCACAGCTTTCAGGGCCACCCATAGTCTGGGGAGGCTCACAAAAATGTTTTAATTTTAATTTAAAATCAGAAGAAGGCCGGGTGCGGTGGCTCACGCCTGTAATCCCAGCACTTTGGGAGGCCAAGGAGGGCGAATCATGAGGTCTGGAGTTCGAGGCCAGCCTGACGAACATGGTGAAATCCTGTCTCTACTAAAATACAAAAATTAGCCAGGCGTGGTGGCGCGGTCACAGTCTTCTGTAATCCTCCCAGAAGACTGAGGCAGGAGAATCGCTTGAACCCGGTAGGCTAAGGTTGCAGTGAGCCAAGATTGCGCCACTGCACACTAGCCTGGGCAACAGAATGAGACTTCGTCTCAAAAAAAAAAAAAAAAAAATTAGGCGGCCAGGCGCGGTGGCTCACGCCTTTAATCATAACACTTTGGGAGGCAGAGGCGGGTGGATCACCTGAGGTCAGGAGTTCAACACCAGCCTGGCCAACATGGTGAAAACCTGCCTCTACTAAAAATGCAAAAATTAGCCGGGCGTGGTGGCACGAGCCTGTAAATCCCAGCTACTCCGGAGGCTGAGGCAGGAGAATCGTTTGAACCTGGAGGCGAGGGTGCAGTGAGCCGAGATTGTGCCACTGCACTCCTGTCTGGGGCGACAGAGCAAGACTCCATCTCATAAATAAATAAATAAATAATCAGAAGAAAAAACCGGGCGTGGTGGCTCATGCCTGTAGTCCCAGCACCCTCTAGACTAGTCTGGCCAACCTGGCAAAACCCCTGTATCTACTAAAAATACAAAAATTAGTGGCATATGCCTGTGGTCCCAGCTACTTGGGGGGAGTCTAAGGTGGGAGGATCACCTGAGCCTGGGGGGGTTGAAGCTGCAGTGAGCCATGATCGGGCCACTGCACTCCAAACTGGGTGACACAGTGAGACCCCCATCTCAAAAAAAAATTTTTTTTTGGAAAAAAATAATATAACTGCTATATAGTAATGGATCCAATCTGGATTATCGTCATCATTAATAGCAATACAGTCATAAAATATAATTTTAAGTATGTTTTCAGGCAGGAAGGAGCCACGAAAGCAAAAGAGTTTAGGGTCCTTGAAAGTCATAATGTAGCCTTAGCATTCAGTAATAACTTAGTAAGTGAATGATTAGATAAATGAAGGAACTGAATCCATCAACCCTTGCTAAGAGGGAGCCATGGACAGTTCACACCTGAGGCTGCAGAGGGTTCTGAAGCAGCTTACTGGGTGGGCCCCCTGCAACTAATCCTGCCACGCAGTCACCCTCAAAATAAGGAGGTGGGTGAAATACCACTTAGAAGATAAAAAAAAATTTATATTAATACTGAAAAAGAAGTGAAAACAAACAAAGTTTGGTTTGGATTCAACAACATGAGGAGGTCAAAGAATACAGACTGAACTTTCACCCTTGATTGAATGAAAGTTAAATCTCAGGGACATGCACTAGTTAATAATTTTAAATTAGGCCGCTAACGCCTGTAATCCCAGCACTTTGGCAGGCTGTCGTGGGTCGATCATGAGGTCAAGAGATCGAGACCATCCTGGCCAACATAGTGAAACCCCATCTCTACTAAAAAAATACAGACATTAGCTGGGTGTGGTGGTGTGCGCCTGTAGTTCCAGCTACTCAGGAGGCTGAGGCAGGAGAATTGCTTAAACCCGGGAGGTGGTGGTTGCAGTGAGCGGAGATCACGCCACTATACTCCAGCCTAGCACCTGGCGACAGAGCAAGAATCTGTCTCAAAATAATAATAATAATAATTTTAAAGTATTAGAGGAAGTTATTCTGCATATCTGCACAGACATTGATTGAGTCCTAGGCTATTCCTTAAAAAATTTTTTAAGGCCGGGCGCGGTGGCTCACGCCTGTAATCCTAGCACTTTGGGAGGCCGAGGTGGGTGGATCACCTGAGGTCAGGAGTTCAAGACCAGCCTGGCCATCATGGTGAAACCCCATCTTTAAAAAAAAAAAAAAATTAAAAAAAAAAATTTTTTTATACACAATTGAAAATAATTGAAATAACTGTCAAATAGTAACAAATGTGCAGAATTTGATGAGGCACAGCCCTAATCAATCAAGCAGTTCCAGAAAGGGTTTGAGGAGCTGAATGAGAATTGTAGTGTTAGATTCAATGATATTCAGCATCAAGCAAATTCTTTCCAAGCAATATTTCATTCCTGCTTGAAACTGAGGAAGTCTTATAACTGAACTTGGACAGAATTATAGAAAACCGCTTGGCTGGCATTTGGGAGTTCCAGGTGGGAGGATTACTTACAGCAAGGAGTTCAAGACTGACTTGGGCAACACAATGAGACACCCTTCTTTATTTAAAAGCAAAGAGGCTGGGAGGCCGGGCACAGTGGCTCAAGCCTGTAATCCAAGCACTTCAGGAGGCCGAGGCAGGTGGATCACTTGAGGTCAGGAGTTCAGAACCAGCCTGGCCAACATGGTGAAACCCCGTTTCTACTAAAAATACAAAAATTAGCTGGGCATGGTGTTGCACACCTGTAATCCCAGCTACTCAAGAGGTTGAGGAAGGAGACTCACTTGAACGTAGGAGGCAGAGGCTGCAGTGAGCTGAGATTGCACCTCTGCACTCTAGCCTGGGCGACAGAGCAAGACTCTGACTCAAAAAACAAAACAGAACAAAAAAAAGGGCAGGGACGGTGGCTCATGCCCAACACTTAGGGAGGTGAAGGTGGGAGGATCACTTAAGCCCAGGAGTTCAAGACATAGTGAGACCTCATCTCTAGAAAAAAAATTTTAAAATAAAATAAAAAAAAAAACGAGGCAGGAAGCTTGCTGCAATGAGCCATGATCGCATCACCCCACAACCACCTGGGTGATAGAGCCAGACCCTGTCTCGAAAGAAAAAAAGAAAGTAAAAGAATGAATTGATGAAACTACTCAAAAGAAATTCAAGAAAAATCTACAGAAATTAGAAAATTATTCCTTCTAAATTCCAAAATGAATCAAATTTTTATTTTTATAGAGAAAGGGTCTCAGTCTATGGCCTAGACTGGAGTGCAGGGGCACAATCAGCACACTGCAGCCTACAGCCTTGAACTCCTGGACTCAAGCAATCCTCCTGCTTCTGCCTCCTGAGTAGCTAAGACTACAGGATTGAGCCCTGATAAATTTTTTTAAATATATATTTTTTGTAATGATAGGGTCTCTATGTTGCCCAGGCTGGTCTTAAATTCCTGGCCTCAAACAGTCCTCTCTCCTCAGCCTCCCAAAGTGCTGGGATTACAGGTGTTAACCACTGCACCCAGCCTTTATTATTTATTTATTTATTTATTGAGATGGGAGTCTTGCTCTGTCACCCAGGCTGGAGTGCAGTGGCGAGATCTTGGTTCACCACAACCTCCACCTCCCAGGTTCAAGCCATTCTCCTGCCTCAGCCTCCTGAGTAGCTGGGATTACAGGTGCATGCAATCACACCTGGCTAATTTTTGTATTTTTAGTAAAGACCAGGTTTCACCATCTTGGCCAGGCTGGTCTTGAACTCCTGACCTTGTGATCTACCTGCCTCAGCCTCCCAAAGTGCTGGGATTACAGGCATGAGCCACCGTGCCTGGCCAGAAATTTTATTTCAATAATTTTCTCAAGTATAATTGTTAAACATCCTTAAACACTCAAAGTTTAAAAGAAACAGCAAATTAACAGTTTCAATAGGAGACATGTCAATAGTCTTCTCCTTAATGAGATTAGAGCTTAATATAACAAACTGAAAGCCAAGTAATAAACCTCATGAAATAAATGTTATTTTAGATGGTACTGAGTATTTTGTTTGCAGTATTTATTCTGTCACCCAGGCTGGAGTGCAATGGTGCGGCTCATTGCAACCTCAGCCTCCTGGGTTCAAGTGATTCTCATGCCTCAGCCTCCAGAGTAGCTGGGATTACAGGAGTGCGTCACCATACCCGGCTAATCTTTGTATATTTAGTAGAG